GTGTTTGGGTTAGTGTGTCTTGTGGGAGTGTCTTTTAGTAGTGTGTCTTGTAGAAAGGTGTTTTTAAAGCGGTGTTTGTAGAAGTGTGTCTTGTAGCAGTGTGTCTTTTTATGTGTGGCTTGTAGCAGCGTGTCCTTTGTAGTGTCCCCTTGTTTTAGTCTGTTTGTAGCGTGTGCCCTTGTAGTAGTTTTGTCTTGTATTAGTTTGTCTTGTACCCAGTGTTTTCCTTTTAGTAGTGTGCCCCCCGGGTAGCAGTGTTTTTTAAATTTGTGTGTCTTTTGTATTGTTTGTCTTGTAGCAGTGTGTCTTGTGTAGTTTGTCTTGTATATGGGTTCTTTTTAGTAGTGTGTTTGTGCAGGTGTCTTTTTAGAAGTTTTTTTGTGTATTGTGTTTGTTAGCAGTGTTTTCTTGTAGCAGTGTGTCTTGTAGTTTTTGTGTCTTTTTAGCAGTGGTTTTGGGTAGTAGTGTGTTTTTTGTGGTAGTGTGCCCTTTTAGTAGTGTGTTTTGTAAAAGTGTGTTTGTATTTGTGTGTTTGTAGTAGGGGGTCTTGTAGCAGTGTGTCTTTTAGTAGTGTTTTTGTAGTATTTGTGTTTGTGTAGGGTGTTTGTTTTTGTGAAATTTTTTGCGGGTGTGTTTTGAAAAAAAGTGTATCTTGAAAGAAGTGTTGTCTTTTTAGAAAGTGTGTCTTGTAGTATTGGGTCTTGTAGCGTGTGTTTGTTTTGTGTATCTTGTAGTAGTGTGTCTTGTGCAGATGTTTTTCTTGTAGTAGTGTGTCTTTTTGTAGTGTTTTTTGTACCCAGGTTTTCTTGTAGTAGTGTTTCTTGTAGTAGTGTGTCTTGTGAGTGTGTCTTGTGGTTGTGGGTCTTGTAAAAGTGTGTCTTTTTAGCGTGTGTCTTGTAGTAGTGTGTCTTGTAGCAGAGTGTCTTGAAATTTAGTGGGGTTTGTAGCATTTGTTTTCTTGTAGTTTATGTGTCTTGTAGAATTGTGTCTTGTATTATTTTGTCTTGTAGCGGGTGTGCCGGGTAGTAGTGTTTTCTTGATTAGTTTGTCTTTTTGAAAGTGTGTCTTGTATTTGTGTGTCTTGTAGTAGGTGTTTTTTAGCAGTGTGTTTTGTAGCAGTTTTGTCTTGTATTTAGTGTTTTCTTTTTGAAAGTGTGTTTTGTAGCAGTGTGTCTTGTAGCTTTGTGTTTGTAGTAGGGGTTGTCTAGTAGTAGTGTGTCTTGTGGTGTGTCTTGTTTTAAAATTTGTCTTGAGCTTGTGTCTTGTGCGTGTGTTTTTGTAGTAGTGTGTTTTTGTATTATTTTGTTTTGGTACTAGTGTGTCTTGTAGTACTGTGTCTTGTGCAGTGTGTTTTTGTAGCAGTGTGTCTATGTAGCAGTGTGTCTTTTTGTATTGTGTCTTTTTAAGTAGTGTGTCTTGTAGCAGTGTGTATTTAATAGTGTGTTTTTTAGTAGTGTTGTCTTGTAGTAGTGTGTCTTGAAAGTAGTGTGTTTGTAGCAGTGTGTTTTAAAAAATAGTGTGTTTTTGGGTATTTAGTGTGTCTTGTAGTAGTGTGTTTGTAGTAGTGTGATTTGTACCCAGTGTGTTTTTGTAGTTTTGTGTTTGAAAGTAGTGTGTCTTGAAAGCAGGTGTATTGTAATAGTGGGGATCATAGTATTTGTTGTTTGTAGTAGGGGTGTCTTGAGCAGTGTGTCTTGAAGTAGTGTGTTTTTTGTAGTGTGTTTTGAAGTAGGGTGTCTTGAAGTGGTGTGTCTTGTAGTAGTGTGTCTTTATTTAGTTTTGTCTTGTAGTAGTGTGTCTTTTTGTAGTGTGTTTTTGTAGCAGTGGTTTTGTAGCAGTGTGTCTTGTATTTGGTGTGTCTTGTATTTGTGTGTTTGTACCAGTGTGTCTTGTCCCCCGTGTGTCTTGTGCAGTGTGTTTTGTTAGTTTTTGTGTCTTGTAGTAGGGGTGTTTTGGTTGCAGTGGGGGTTTTTTAAATAGTTTTTGTTTGTAGTAGTGTGTTTTTGGAGTGTGTTTGTAGTAGTGTGTCTTGAAACCCATGTGTTTTGAAATTTAGTGTGTTTTTGTAGTAGTGTGTCTTTTTAGTATTTGTGTTTGTGGGAAATAGTGTGTTTTTGTAGCGTGGGGTTTGTAGTTTTGTGTCTTGTATTGTGTCTTGTAGCGGGGTGTATTTTTAATTTAGTGGTTCATAGAAAGTGTGTCTTGTAGAAGTTTTGTCTTTTTGAGTGTTTCTTGAAGTAGTGTGTCTTGAAAGTAGTGTTTTTTTTGGGAAGTAGTGTGTTTTGAAGAAATGTGTTTGTGTAGTTGTCTTGTAGTAGTGTGTTTGTAGTAGTGTGTCTTTTAATTTGTGTGTCTTGTAGTGTGTGTCTTTTGTAGTAGTGTTTTCTTTTTTGTAGGGTGTTTGTAGTAGTTTTGTCTTGTAGTAGTGTGTCTTTAAACAGTGTGTCTTGTAGTAGTGGGGTTTTGTGCGTTTTTGTTTTAAAGTAGGTTTTCTTGTAGT